AAATCAACAATTAGTGGGTAGAACCCAGTCAGCTTGTACTCTGCCCAGCCTCATGCTCCAGGCCTTCCACAGCCTCCTCCCAATCTGTCCTTGAGCTTTATTTCCCACTATTCTCTTACTTCTGTCTACTCCCCTGCCAAAAGCTTACTTTGTCCCCTCCCAGGCCTTAACTCTTCTCATTTCCCTCCCATTCCCATCATCACAATCACAACTGCTGTACAAATCCAACTAATTCTCCTAGGATGGGCTCAAGTCTCTCCTCTTTTATGAAAATGTCAGAATCATTCCAGCTTCCAGGGGCTCATTCTCCTTGAATTTACAGAGCCGTTGTGCCAATCATCTGGTAAATAAACCTGTGCTACCTTGCAAGTGGAGTTGTGGTTTCACTTAGCTGTTAATTCATCTAGATCCCATCTGCCCAACCAGGTTCTTGCAGGATGAATCTGACAAAGAATCCTGCCTCCCATGTGATACTGCACAAAGCCAGCTCTTTATAAATACAACCTGAGGCTGAATAGTAATTGCAACAGTGAACAATGAAGTCAAAACAGTCAGTCCCTTGAGGGCAATGAGCAAGTTCAGATGCTCATAATTTATATATACTATAGCTTTAAATCTGCACATTCAGTAGTTTGATAAGGAAGAGGCTAGAATTTGGAGCAACTGGGAAACACTTAAATCCACAAAAAACAAGGGCTGGACATGGGAGAAGTGGGTAAAGGGATAAGATGATGGGAAGAAAAGGAGGAAGCATCAGTGACCAATGTTGGAACAAGGGGTATTGGTGAGTATTCTGGAGGGCAAAAGAAGCAACAGTAAATTGGAAGGTGAAAGTGAAGAAGGAAAGAATTAAGATACAGGAGACTTGGAAGTCATCCTTCAAGAACAGAATGAAAGCAAGTAACTTGTCATTAAACTCCTCTATCTCCCACAGCAGTGAGGTGTCTGCCAGTGCAGCCCTGATCCACATAACTTTTCATAGCAGAAACCAGTGGGGCAGAAATCTTAATTCTCATTCTGCCATATTTCTGTTGCTAACTTTGACGAGACAAAGGATAAAAACTCAGAGCATTTTAAGATTCTGGCTGGATTAAAATGAAAATAAAGCAATACCCTAAAAAAGAGTCACTATAGAGCTTCATAGACTGAAAAATATTTATTAAAAAAGTGGGAAGATAGGCCTTTCAGAATGGTAGGAAAAATGAGTAAAGGATAAAAGAAATAAGAGAACAAAACAACAAAAAGAAAACATTACAGGGCCAGGGATTTAGCTCAGTGGTTCCGCAGCCAGACTCTCATTCACAAGGACCGGAGTTCGATTCCCGGTACCAAAAAAAAAAAGGAAAAAAGCAAAAAAACAAAAAACAACAACAACAAAAACCATGACAGATATCATGAGGGACAATAAAGATCCCTAAAAAATACAAACAGACACAGGCTTAAAATGTATAATGCCATCAATGCGACCCAAGATACAGACAAAAGTGATCTGACAACTCTGTCCTTGGAAAAGGGTAGCAGCCAAAATCAATGGCACAGGAAGAATTCCTACGAAATTGAAATCGCCCAAGAATGCAGCACCACAATAGCTGGTCCAGCAGTCACCAGAGCCACTCTTCTCCCTAACTCCCATGACACAGGGTCACTCTGTCTTCTGTTGTCACATCCCGGCCCTCCCTCTCTTCCACGGTCAGGGACAGTGATTTCACAAGGGGTACACGGAGCAGTAGTCTCAGTACTAGGGGTGAGGAGGAGGAGAGGAGCCTAAAGAGGGGATGGCAGGAGGCCAGCCATCCAGAAGAGGACAGCTGGGCACAGTCTCCAGTCCAGGTTGTGTTTACACAAGTTCTGCAGGTGATTTGGATGTACACTGATTCAAGGGTGAGAATCCCTGTCCTGGGCTGAATCTGTTTCATGGGCAACTGAATCCTTCCTTGCTATCCCAAGTGTAGTCTCTGGACCAGCAGCAGGACCTCACCTGAATGTGGCTGGAACAGCAGACACTCAAACTCCACTCCAGAACCTTGAAATCAGTACAGTAAGTCCCAATTTGTGAACAAGGTCCCTTCCATGAGAACATTCATAAATTGGACTCATTCGTAATCTGACAAAGTCAGTCTTACACTTGTGAATCGTATAGGTACACCCGTGAAACTTCGCATCAATGTTCCTATGTTAGGAACTTATTGCATTTGCATATAAAGAAGGTTCCCCATCTGACACACATGCACATGCATTGGCACTAAAGCAACTCTATAATTTGGGGAAGATCCACCTTAGGTCCAGATCTCCTCTGGGTCCACTTGTCTGGCTTTTCCTGGACTCCCAAGCATAGATCCTTAAAGTCATCCTTATTATGGCTTATATCTAGATGTCCCCCAAAAGCCCAGTGTGTTCAGAGATGGGGCTTTTGAGTGGTGACTGGATCATGGATGTGTGATAGGCTATAGCTGGGTGTGATATTCGGAGGTGAAGCCTGGTGGGAAGAGGTGGGTCACTGTGGGCGTGGTCTGGATATATAAATATCCCCCTGCCTTGAGCATACATTGCTTCCTGCTGCCAGGACGTAAGCTGTTTCTCCTCTGCCATGTTGGTCTTCCTTGGAGCCAGCCAACTATGGACTGAAACCTCTACAAACTGTGAGCTAAAATAAACCTTTCTTCCTTTAACTTGTGGGTATTGGGTATTTTTGTTTCAGGAATGAGAAGTAACTAAGACAATCCTCTATGGTTTAAAATTACTAAAACGATTCTGGTTCCTTCAAACAAAAGGCCTCCTCAGACTCAGACCACAAGGTATGAGGGGAGACACCCACCACTGGGTTCCTCCTCTCTCTCACACTGCAGTCTCACTCTGATGTGATGGCCTAGGATCACTTACCACCCTGTTCATCCATGTAAAGCTAATGGTGATGCTAATGGTGAGCCCAGTACACATCTGAAATCCTAGTTACTTGGAGGCTGAGATAAGAGGATCGCAAGTTCTAGGTCAACCTAGGCAATCAAACAGACCTTGACTCAAAACAAAATTTTAAAAAGGTATGCAAATGTAGTTTAGGGGTAGAAATTTTGCTTAGCACGGGCGAGGCCCTGGGTTCAATCCAAGCACCACAGACACGCACACACACACACACATGGCATAACACATCGAGCTTGAGTCTTCCCCAGTTAAATGTCAGGGGGTAAAGTCTAGGTCTGAGCCTTCTCTTCCTTTATAACTGTCCTGCCTCACTGGCTTTCCCTTGCCATGACCCACTTAAAATGTCAGCTTCCTTGGTTTCCTTGACAATGAGAGTTGTAAAGGGGCTTTCATGTTATTCTGGTTTTATACACCTTCCCTGTGGTCCTAACACACCATACTCTTCCCTTCACGTGGATAACAGAAAATAAGGGCTAATTCAGGATATAGAATACATGGAATTCACACCTTTTAACTGCAGAAACTGAGTTTCAGATTTTGTCATGTATCTGATTGGCAAAAGTTGGGATCAGGACTTTGTCCTTGACTCATAACTCAGTGCTCTCTCCATTTCCCCAGCTCCAAACAAGAAATGAGGAAAAGAGGACAGGGTAAGTTTTGTTGGTGGGCCTCAACTCAACTTTGGGCCTGGAAAAGCAGATGAGATGAGACTAGCACAGCCTCTGACTGAATGAGAAGGTCCATCCCGAGGCTCTGACCGGGGCCCACTTTCCCTCTGGAGTGGGACAGCCACAGGTACTTCAAAGTTATTAAAATAAGGGAGTCACTTGCTTAAATAATTTAGGAAAAGCATCCAAACTGTGCTGTAGGGAAAACAGAAAACAGGGCAAGGAATGGTCACTACTCAGGTGCACTTTTCCCCTTTTTGGAACCTTCCCTGGCTGCCTTAACCCTCCTTCCACAGGTGCCCAGGAAACTAGATTGGGAGCGTGGTCTCCTGAACATGGGAAGAGTGAGTCTGACCCCCTACTTTATAAGTGTGTATTTGTGCAAAGGTTGAAGGAACTGTTTTATTTCCCAGGGACTGGCAGACTCCCATGTTCAGTGGAGCAGCGTTGGCACGTCAGGGCAAGAAACAAGTTCTACTCATGGTTAAATGTTTCTCCTGGATGCTTTAAAGCTATTAGGAGTTAAATACAAAGGAGGGGGAAAAAAAAAAGAAAAATGACTAATTGCTCCCAACACATGGGTGGTTTACCTCCTGCATGTTGTTTGGAGTTATGCAATATTTTTAAAACAATCATGTATTACTTCATGATGATGCTAATGATGAGGCTAAACGTTGCTCGTTCATCCCCAAGATATTCAGAAGGGACCCATGTGGGGAGTGCCGCATGGTGTGGAGAGCAGCAGTGGGCAGGATGGAGACACCCTTCAGCGCTTCCCTGATGGGCTGGGGGTGAGGAAGAGAGCAGGGTCAAAGAGCAGGAAGTCCTAGAAGAAAACCTGGAGGAGAGCCAGGCGGGCACGCCTGTAATCCCAGCACTCGGGAGGCTGAGGCAGGAAGATCACTGTGAGTTCGAGACCAGCCTGGGCTACATAGTGAGTTCCAGGCCAGTCTCAACTACACAGTGAAACCCTGTCTCAAGAAAACAAACAAACAAAAAAATCAAAGCAAAGGATAGCCGGAGGGGCAGGGCAAGAGGCTGGGCCCAGGGTAGCCAACAAGAGGTTCTTCCAGGAGGGATTTTGGAGCAGAGACAGGAAGGACATAAGGACGTGTCAGGTGAAGGGGCTGTGGGAGGATGAGCAGGTGAGTGGGGCAGGAGACAGGGCTGAGCCAGGTTGCAGGGCTGAGTAAGGCCACGTAAGGGTTATTGCTTCAGCTCCAGTGTGAGGGAGGCCACGGGGAGGTTTGAGAAGGAAAGTGAGTTCTTCCTGGTGTGACCAACAGAGTCGCTTGCTTGGATGTCTTCCTCGAGCTCTGTAGGACACCTCCCCACTCTGGAGAGAGCGGAAGCAGGAGCGGCAGACCTGGGGCTGACAGTCCAGCCCCCAGGCCCCTGCCGCCTGGGACTCACCTTCCACGGTCAGCTCCACGGTCACCTGGCGGGCACCACTACTGTTGCTGGCTTCACAGGTGTACTTTCCCTTGTCTTCCCCACAGACAGCACAAATAACAAGGCTGAAAGTGCCCCGGACACCGCAGTCCAGCAGAAAGCGGCCCCCACTGGAGATGGGCTGCCCATTTCTGTGCCACGTCACCTGGGGCTCTGGGTAACCCCGGACCTTCAAGAAAAAGAAGAAAGGGCAAGGGTTATAATTCATAACTACTCCCTCTGTGCCAGATGTGGCTTTGAATGCCTGACTAGTATTAACTCATTTAAGCCTTATAACAATCTTCCACGCAGATATGACTTTAATCACCATTTTATAGAAAGGGAATTATTATTATAGTACTGGGGATTGAACCTAAGGCCTTGCATATGCAAGGCAAGTGCTCTACCACTAGGCTGTATTCAAGAGCTTCATAGTTTTCTTTGTATTTTGCTAGGTCCCCATCTCAGCTCTTCTGCCCGCAACCTATCCACAAACCTGATTTCCAGCAGCCCAGGACAAAGATTCTTCCTAAGGAAGGAAGCCTCCAATCATAGTCCTTCTGTTTGCCCATATAATTACTGTAGACAGCTAAGTTAGGTAGAAATATTATAGGCAGTCAGATGGGGCTGGGCCCTAGAGACAGTCAGTGCAAAAGATAAAAACAACTGTGGCCAGAGGCACACCAGTTGGAGGCCAGGCCTCAAGATAAAGACAAACTAACCAGACCTACATACTTTCCCAAGAGATAAGTGGTAACACCTGATCTAATGAAGTCTAGGTAGACATCAGCCGTCTCAGTAGGTGACCAAGACCCTCAGACCCATCACCTTCCTGAGAAGTTCTTTGTTCTTTCCATGTACACTTGCTATGTGACTTGCTTCTCCATTGGACCACTATTACCTAAGCAACTACACTTGTAACCTTATTGGTTGATCATAGCTTTAACCCATGTTATACCTATGCGGTGGTGCTTTATAAATCTTCCCCTGAAAAGTGGGATCCCTGGCAATCTATTTGAGACCCCCCTCCTGCCTCTCAGGGACTATCTATCCATAAATATTTCCTACTCTTAACCTCCATTGTTCCTTAGAATTCATTCTTTGGTTTTGGGGAACACGAACTTGGCTTATCTGGCATCTAGCAGCTTGAGAGTTATACTTTCCTTATATCACTTAGAGGTCTGATATCATTCCTATGTTATTCTTGGAGGTCTGGCATCCTTCCTATATCATAATCAGCCCTTCTTTGCAGTTTGTCATCTCACAAGACCTGCCTCTCTATTCCCACTGATTTGCAGCCAGGCTTCAGGGAAAAAGAAACAACAACAACAAAAAAATGAAACTTCAAATCAATATTTCCCATCTTATTTATAATTTCTAGAGAAATCCTGCTCCTATAAAACTCTAAACTAACAACAGAGATGGAGCCTGTGAGGAAAAGCTTTGGTACTGAACTGAAGTCCATTCCCTAAAAAGCTGGAAGCCACTGTGGTCCCTATAAAGCAAGCTTCCCCTAGGAGGCCATAGCTTGGTGGGTACAGAGAGCCTCCCAGCCACTACAATACAAAATATGAGCAGGGGTTGTCTGGACTGGTAGGGCTGCAGGTTCTCTGCTTTTCCTTTTAGTTAACTCATAGTATCTGTTTTGTCTGCAAATAACACCCTTGGTCTTTGTAAAATAGAAACATTAAATTTTTTATTTTATTTATTTATTTATTTTTGGGTAATGGGGATTGAACTCGGGTCTTTGGACTTGCAAGGCAGGCCACCGAACCACTGAGCTAAATTCCCAGCCCCAACATTCAATTTTTTAAAATGCGCACCTGCTTTTTTACCAAAGTGGTGTGGAAAGCAAAGAAGGAATCTCCTGCCCCTCCCAAAGCTGAAGCTGAAGCAAAAGCTTGGACAGCAAGAATGAGGGACTGACAGGCGTCCACAGCCACAAAAAGCTCCGTAGGTCACTCACCTTCTATTGGCCTGAGACACCTTGGCTCTGGAGGCAGCCCAAACACCTCAGAACACCCCCACCACCACTATGAGAAACAAACTAGGACCAAAGTGCCCTAAACAATGAGTTGACCAGGAAGAAAATAAGACAACAGACTTGTGTTCATTATGAATGTCAAGGCCAAAAAGCACCAGACTGAACAGGCTGTGGAGATCTATGACACTGACATGGCCACAGTCATCACCTTGCTGCCTGGTGGAGAGAAGGCAAATGTTGGATTGCTCCTGATGATGCACTTTGGATAGTGCATCAAAATTGAGCTCGTCTATCCTAAGCCCAGCTGGCTAATTCTAAATACAATGGATCCTTGCCTTATGGACTCAATCAGTTCCCAATAGCTGGTTGCAACTCAAGTTGGTTGTAAGTCAATCCAGCTGAGATCTGGATGTTTAGCTAGGTACACGCAATCAATAACAAGAGTCAGATGAATCTTCCATTAGCCTAATTTACCCAAGTTGTTCCTGTGTCAGGCCAGTCGTAACTTGGGGGTCCACTGTATACATTTTTTTCATCATAAAAGGCAGTTATTATATAGTCATGTGTCTGTATGGTGAACATACTGTACATTAATTAATTTGTTGAGACTCTCACAGTACTTGAATCTTCCGATAGCAGTAAAAGAGCTACACAAATAAGTAGGATGCACATTGGAGGGTGGCACATGTCATACACACATAATAATCATCTTGATGCTTTATCTTGGCACAAAGGTTCATGCAATGAAACATCAAACAAGGGCCAGGGATTAGCTCAGTGGTTGCGTCGTCTGCCTTGCAAGTTCAAGGATCTGAGTTCGATCCCTAGTACCAAAAAAAAAAGAAGAAACACCAAACAACTAGTCTGTTAATTCGTTCATCTTTGTATTTTCAGAAAATGCCTAAGGAAACTTTCCTCCACAAGCCTTGCAAGGCTAGTCAGGTAATGAATTTGCAAATCATCCTTATCTTCTTTAGCACTCTATTAGTCAGGACTGGCCCCCATCCCAAAGACAGCACAGGTCCCTGGTTTACTTCAGAGAGAAAAGGTGGGATAAATCATTAACAGTACCCAGGGCATCCAGAATCCCAGCAGCAAGCAGCAGGCCAGCTCCTGAAAGGGGCATCAATGATTAACTGGGCACACTGTGAGCAGTCCAGACCTCAGGGACAGGACTCCTTGGTCTTTTCTCCCTATTTTTCTACACATCTCTCAAAGTTATCTCTGAAATGTGTTACATTAAATATCCAAGGATTTTTTTTTTTAAATGCTGAAAATGGCATCACTCAAGACAGTGGCAATTTGTAAATGATCTTTTATAGTCCTTGGATATGAAGCAAAGGTGGGAGTTTCTGTGATCTTGCTCATCCAAGTTCTTAATGATTTGTAACATCAATATTTATCCTCTGGTATGTGAAAAATCTGTTCAAGCATTAGCTAACATTACTTGAAAATTGTTGAACTTCAAATACAGACTGTCTGTATGCTCTGCTGGGTAGGGAAGGCGAGCTTTGACTCTTATCAGGAGTGTGTAACAACAGCCCCGCCTCTGGGGGCTTTGTGTGCCATCATCTCTTCAGTTAAGAAGCCACCGCTGGAATCTTAACAGTCAGGATCCTCACCAAGGGAGCAATAAACCCACTGACACTTTAATTTTCAGAAAGCCTCCATGTATAACATCTTATTGAATTATTCAACACTATGAGGAAGGTGTCTTAGGTTGGGCTATCCAGAAACAGAACCTGAGGCAGTGCTTCAGAGATGCTACCTGTGTACCTTGCCAATCCCCAGGGCAGCTGGGATAAGCCTGGTAACGGGAACCTAGGGTGGCACCAGCAGTGTCCATGCCAGCACAGATTATACCTGGACCAAGAAGAAAATGGAGGCGTGGACGTTTGCTAGTGGTCTCATTTGGCAAATTAAGTGGCATGTTCAGGACTGTAATTTTGGTCTCCAAGCTGAGGGGTCATATCCAAGCCTCACTGTAAATTTCCATTTTGGGTGAGACAAGTTCTTAGAACCCAAAGCAGTGATGAGTGTTTAATTCTAATGGACTCTAATTCTCTTAGAGGCTAACACAATTATCTGCTTCTTACTTTTGGAAAACGTCAAAGCAGTCACAAAAGATATGGTCATGCCACTGTGAGTCTTGGACTGTACTCTCAGATTCATGGCCAAGATTGGGGTCACACATGTGCCCATGCTGGGTACCCCTATGAGAGTCAGAGAAGCAGGAGAGCCAGGGCCTGCATGCTTGGGCCTGGCCTGGCTTCAAAGACTCTGGGTTGTAATTCCTTCTTTCCTTGAAGAGAAAATTGGTCTTGATACCCAAGGTTCCTTTCATCTCTAAAGTATTACAGTTTTAAATGGTGACCCACTTAGTTTTTGGGGAAGATTTCTTCCTCTCCACCACTTTCCTCTGGGTCCAGCCCACAGCCTTCATGCCCTCTAATCCTCCATACAGGAAAACCAAGCAGCCACAGGGAGAATGCTCACAAACATGAAAAGGCAGCCTTGAGTTTTCACCATAATGAGTTTTTGGAGCTGGCCCCAAAAAGGGTCATTCTGAGGAAAATCATATTTTTGCCACAGTAACCACATTTTAATTGGAAGTTGCATTTTTTTTTAACAAAAGCTCAGTATCAAATAAATCAAGGGCATAACCAATAACTTGTCATAAAAATAAAGATACAGTAGCCATAAACCCTATAATAATTTTGAGTAGTAAAACTATGTTCCAGCTTCATAAAATGTCCTCAGAAATCTTTATGGCCTCAAAACGCCTTTAATAGGCATGGGGCTCACTTCACATGCACTAATGGTTGAGGACAAAGTGGGGCTGTGGGAAGGAGTGGCGGGGCTGCTGCATTACCCCTACCTGCCTCACTGGAGACACATTTTCCAAAACCTGGGAGTGTCTTGAGATTTACTCAATGACTAAAAAAAGAACCACTCTCAAGAGCACCAAGTCTTTTTTTCCTTTGACACATCATGGGCTTTCAGCCCATTAGTCTTTGTCCAGAACAGGCTGCCTCAGCCTGACCCAGAGCTGTGTGGCAGGTCTCTGCCCCCTCCAAAACTCCAAGCCACACAGCCTTCTTTGAGCTTAGTGAGCAGCAGAAAGGACTCTGCTACTTTTCATGATTCCCCTGAGTCTTCATTTCCTTCAGGGCCTGGCCCTGGGCACATGCCGCAAACCCACATAG